TCTAGTGTGAGAAACTGAAAGTGTAAATAAGGACTAAAAGGTATAATAGATAATGTGAAATAGGAAGAAAAGGGGCAAAGGGAAAGGGGAAGTGGGAGGGGTAGGGGAAAGGAAAGAAGGGACTGGAATTAATATGAGAAAATGAAAAAATGGAAAAAAGTCTTTGTAAATAGGGAAGGATTGAGGGGTTGAAGGGAGGGCAGGGGAAGGGGGAAAAAATAAGAACCAAGAGAGATTATGTAGAGTTGCAGATCTCTAATGATGAATGTCATTATATTGTATACCTAAAATGTACCAATAAAATTAGGTTTTAAAAAATTATGACTTAGCCTGTTTTTAATTACGATTAACTCCCTTGGTTCTAGCTCAAAGGCCTATCACCGAATCTACTCTAACTTCATGCCAGTGATTGTTTTTAATTGATAAATTCTAACACAATCGATAGTTCCCTGCACAGCTTAAAAGCTGGACTGTAGACCCAGTCCAGTGTGATGATGTCAAAACTGACATTTCTGGAATATTGCTGTATCTTTTGGAATATTGCTGATTGAGAAATTTGAGGTTAAGTATTTCTGCAATGGGAAAAAGACAATTGATATGAAAAGAAAAAGAAGAATTTTATGTTGGAAATAAGTAGAATACAGTATAAATCGTCGTTTGATCATTTACTGTGATGATACCAAACCTAGGAACTGGCTGTCATTTACATATCTTCAGCTGTGGACGGCCTCAGAAACGTAATCACTTCATCAGTTTCTATACAAAAATTTTTAATTTGGAGGGAATTTACTCATATGAACTAAAAGTAGTGGTCATGCAAATCTCTGGTGCACTCACTCTCGTGTAAATAACTTTTGAAAACATACAAACACTGGAAATCAGACCTATTTGTTACTGTTTTTACCATTTTAAAATATGATCTTAATTGTATTGTACACATTCTTGTCTGTCAAATAACACACTGTAAAATGTAATTTAGCCCTTTTTTGAAGACAGTGCGAAGGACAATATACATTATGAGTATGGGGGATCTTTAATGTGATGTAATACAACATCGTTTCCTGGGCCTCTGAAATCTTAGGGTCTCTTTGCACCTGCGCTAAAGATCTTGGACTGCTGCCTTTGTATAAGTGATGCTGCTTCTGTGTCTTCTATGCCTTATGGCACTGCTGAGCCTGAGGTAATTTAACCACTTCTTCCTCGCTTCTAATCTGTGACGTCTCAGAAAGACCAGAACTTAAGATCAGCAGAGGGAATGCGGTGCTCACATGCTGCATCTTTGACCTCACTGGTATGGCCAGACCCCTCCATGGTTTCCGGCCAGCAGAGCTTCCGAGCCTGCCAGTGGGCTGCCGGCCAGGGCTCTCACCTGTGTGCCTTGTGCCAAGATTGTTGTGTTCACAGTGTGCACATCCATCTTTCATTAAGAACTACTGAACATGAGCAAGTTATTTCACCTCTCTGTGTCTAAGATTCCTTGTCTGTAAAATGGGCCATTAATAATATCTACTTCATACAGTTGCTGTGAAGATGAACTGAGAAGATATCTATACAGTTCTCAGAGCAGTGTGGTACCTAGTAAGGGTTAAACACTTTCAAAATTATTGTCATACAACTGGATGACTGGTTCTTTAAGCTTCTTTTAAAAGGAAAAGTAAGAAAAATTTTTTCTGGTAGAGGATGATTTATACTTTCTTTTCCAATGTAGCAGTCTACTAGAGTGAAGGAATTTGTATCAAAGGAGCAGAACTGAAAGGATCACCTAAAATATGACTATATGCACCAGTGTATGGGGAGATGTTCGTAGCATCTCCTTGGGGGTTTTCAAAGGAGATTTTAAAAAGAGATAAGAGAAGTAAACCAGAAATACATGGAGATGGCGGGCATTGGGTGCAAAGCTTGTGCCAAGAGCTAAAATGTATCTGTATATAATAAGAGTTAAAGAGCTAAAATAGCATGATTGAAGGTGTGTGTGTGTGTATGTGTGTGTGTGTGTGTGTGTTTAACTACCTGTGTGACTTACATGTTTTTCTCTGCTTCTTGAATGGAGAAGGGCATTGGCCATCTGCTTTGTTAAGGAAAGCAGCTACTGCTTTCATGTGGTTTGTTTGTGTGGAAGGGTGCTGTGCTGGCCACTGCAAAGGTTGCAACCTCTTCTAGCTCTTCCCAGATGTTTCTTGGGAGCGTGGGAGCAAAGGACTCACCACACCTGTGGCTTGTGCTGTGCCTTACTGTGCACAGGCTGCACCAGGGCTGGCCCTGACACTCCTTGCGCTGGGCTTGGCTGGTGGCTGCCCTTTGGCCTGGCTCCCTGGGCCAGAGGCCACTCAGTTGTAATTTGTTCCTGGGCTCAGCGGTGAGGTACAGCCCTATTAGACTACAGTGTGTGTTTATCTTGTAATTTTCAGACAAGAAGAAGGGAGGCAAATTCCAGCCCTTTAAGAAGTTTTTTGCCAAAAGGAAAAAGAAAGATTCTTCGCCAGCCCGGGAGGAGTCAGTGGGGAAGAAGAATTACTCTCCACAGAGTGTCAGCAATGGGACCTTCTCTTCAGATGAGGAGACCCTGCAGGACAATCTAAGGTAATAACTTCTACCTTCTCCTCCTGTCACTGGCAGCTTCCCGGGTGGGGAGTAGAATCTCCAAGGAGGCAGGTGCCATTTTTTGCTTTAAACAGTCAGGAGCTGGATCACAAATGTGTCCCACAAATGCTGCTGCCACTTGGTACATTCTCTGTGGAGAGTTCACCTTGGGGACTTAGCAGGCAGACAGCCTGACCTCATGTGCTTGGAGTACACAGGGTTTAGTGGGGCTCATTGGGTTGAAGAGTTGGTTCCTGTGTCCTACTAGTTGGCAAAGAGAAGATGGCCATAGACTAGAGCTCACACAAGTTGAGGACACAGATTGCTCATGCACAGGCGAGCGCCTTCCACACCCCTGGGATCTGTAGCACCTTTTGGAACATGTTCTTGCTGGAGCTTTTAACTCCTTTTTTGTCCCCTTACCTCCCTCCTTTTCTTCCTTCATCTCTTTCTTCTTTTGCCTTCCTTCCTTCTTTCCTTTCTTCCTTTCTTCCCTTCCCCTAACCCCATCTCCTTCCCCTCCCTCCTTCCTTCCTTTCTTTGAATGGAGGCACTAAATCCGACTGTGATAGTGTCAAGAACTCAGAAAAGCAGGGGAGGGACTGGGAATCAGTCAGAGTCAGAGATGGCTAAACTCTGATATGACAGCATAGAAATAAGTTCTTCTGAAAAAGCCTTTCCTAACTACCCAAACCCATTCATTTGCCCTTGCTTGTGCTGTCTACCATCATGTACCTGGGGCTCCAACAAAGAACTTGTCACTTTCTATGGAAATTATTGATTAGCTTTTCTGTCTCTTTCATTCAACTGTCAGTCCCATGAGGTCAGGGACAAGGTTTTATTCAGCTTCCTGTTAGCCTTTCCAGAAAGGTTTCCTATGAATGTCTGGCACTGCCTAAGTTACGTACATACTAAAGGAGTACATGGTATAAGCTGTGATATTCTTACTATATTACAAGGACAAAGACAAAAAAAGTCAAGGGGTGCATGTCAGTAGGTAAATTCTAGTAAATGCTATGTTGTGCCAAAATGACAAAGCCCTCAGACCAGCAGTTCAGTGAGCCCTAGTGTTCACCAGCCGCATGTTAGTTCTCTCCCATCCTGACTCTGCCTTGATAAGCCTGTATTTGTCTTTCATTGTCTTTACTCTTTTGCTAAGAAAACTATCAAATGTAATTTTACTCTTTAGGGTAAAAAAAACCTTTCAAATGAAAGGATTTACCTGAAAGGAGAATGCAGCTAACACTAGGTAATCCAACTGTTGGGACATCAAAACTGATATGTAGTTGAGTATTTTCCAGTATGGGTCAAGTTTGATTTTACTTCAGTTGCCTGTTATAAAATAGGAAAGTGACGTGCAATCAAGAAGCAGTTCAGTGAAAATACGGTCAAGTGTGAGAAGCTCACCTTTGGACAGCCAGTCCTATGAAGACACCATGTCCTTTTATGGTAGCTTATGGTTTTGACGAGTCCCTGGCATCTTAGATGTTGGACACTTAGAGGAGCTGGACCCTTGGATGTTCTCTTACCATTTAAATTCTATATTCCATTTACCTCTTGAAGTTTTCCTTAAGGTTTTTGAGTTTTGCAAACTCTTGGAAAATTCCACATTGGCTGAAGCAGCTACATTTCTGTAAATAATGTCACCTATTCTCAGTGAAATTTATGAGTCATGTACTATATGTTAATTGAACATTTGTTTATATAAAATGTTTGTCTCATAAATAAGAAAGCAAGAAGGATGTTTTGTCTGTGCATTTTATTTATTTATTTTATTTTATTTTTGATACCAGGGATCAAACTCAGAACCTTGCGCTTGTGAGGCAGGCAGCAGAACCACTGAGCTAAATCCCCAGCCCGTCTATGCATTTTAAACAACTCTCTTTAAATATTTATAAAAGTGAAATATAAATGTAGAAAATATAAGTAATTTAAAAATATATCATACGCATTCCTCCTTTCCTCTACAAATTGAAAATTGCAAAGTAATTTTGTCCACAAAGTAAATATTACATGTATTATTTACAGCATAGCTGAACTTCTGATTATCTTTCTTATTTAAAGAAGGAAGAATGAAAAACATTGTTTCCAGCAATTCTTATTTTCAGTTCACTGTTCAATTAACAGACATATTTGTTACTTTACATTGTATAATGCTTTTTTAAAGTTTTCAATACATTTTATTTTGCTTTCTCCAAAATGGAAAGCTCTCAGCAAAGCACAAAACTTGACATTTTGGTAACATGATCTTGGGCAGAAGTGCAAGGAGGCAGAACTCAGTCCAGTGTGATGGAGAATTCCTAACAAGAACTACTGGAAATGGGGAGGCTGGGTCTGTGTCCACAGGGCTGGGTGCCCATGAAGGTTGGCTTTCTGCACTAGGTGAGGGTCTGGAGTTGCTGAACTTGAATACGCTATTGATCTCCAAGAGTCTGTAATTCTAGCAGCACCTCTGTGGCCCAAAATAGCCTCTTATTGATCTGCTGCTTCTGGCTGAAGTTTTCCATTTCCTTGGGGTTTTAAACCCTCTGTTCTTTCTCCAGGTTAGAAGCCTTTGTGTCTCCTAGACTGCTGCTCTGAAATTACACATGCCTTGGAGAAAGTGAAGCAATAAAATGTGACCAGTGTTTAACAATACAACTAATATGTTTCCAAAACTATGTTAAATAGATGTTATGTGTAAAAAGGAAGAAAGGGTCATCTTGGTAAAAAGGTTTGGGAAACTCTAGTAAAAAAAATTTAAACAAGATTCTTTGTATATTATATTATAGGATGTTTGCTATTTCAAGTCCCCTATGAATCTATTCAGAAGAGGGATGTAGGATGGATCATTTCCTAGATTCCTTTGACCACAGACCCTTTTATTCCGTAGAGAATACGCCATCGGATACATATTAAAGCTACTACAAAGCCAGACATGGTGGCACACGGCTGTAATCCCAGCTCTCGGGAGGCCGAGGCAGGAGGATTGCCCTGAGTTTGAGGCCAGCTTAGACTATATAGTGAGTTTAAGGCCAGCCTGAACTACATACTGCGACCCTGCCTCAAAAAAAAAAAAGCTACTACAAATGGAACTTAATATGATGTGTTTCACAGTGATGATGATGTGATGGCAAACCTTTTAAAGAGCTTTCAGTTATATGAACAGCTTGCTGCAGCACACATGCCACAAGTTCACCACCTCTGACATAGGTGAACTTGTGTAATTTTTACCTTGACTCTCTAAGATAGAAAACTAAGGCTAGAGTGACTGGCCCAAGGTCATGCAGCTGTTAAGTCCCTGAGGAATAACCCAAACTCTAAACAGTATATTCTTAACTGTCTAGTACTTTGTCCCTCAAGGAGGCAGCCTTAATAAGGAGCTAGTCATGTGGCCCTCAGTTGTTTGCTTCATCCTGGGTCATTAGACTCAGACGTCTGCTTTCCTCCTTCTGCCTGAATGAAACTCTGCTATTTACTGTGACTTCACTTGTTCTGCTTCCAATTTCTCCTGAACAACCAGTATCTATTACAGCACTTTATATTTTGCCAACTCAGTATAAGCACAGTGAAGATTGAAGGGGCTCCAGTGAGCATAAGCTTACTCTAGGACTGGAACAATTTGGGAAAGATTTAGTATGCGAAGGCCTTGAGATGGCTGTAAACCATGGGCAAGACTTAGAGTAGCTGAGGAGCAAGGCCATGAATCTGTTAGACAATGGCAAAGAAACTTGCATGTAAAATTGGATGTGGCTAATCAAATAGGAGGGAACTTTCCAACTCACTCTCTGAGGCCACTGTTGCCCTTATACCAAAACCAGGCAAAGACGTCACAAGAAAAAACTACAGACTAATATCCACATAGATATAGATACAAAAGTATTCAACAAAATACTAGCAAACTGAATCTAATCTTTACATATAAAAAGGATTACATACCATAGTCAAGTGGAATTTCTTCTAGGAATGTAACGTTAGTTTAACACACAAAAATCAGTCAGTGTAACACACCATATTAATAGAATAAAAAACCAAAACCATACAATCATCTCAAGAGATGCATAAAAAGCATTTGACAAAGTCTAACACTTTTTATGATTAAAAAACAACACAACATTAGGAATAGATAGGAACTAATTCAACTTGATAAAAGACATCTAGAAAGACCCAGAGCTAATAACATAATGATGAAAGAATGAATATGTTCCCCTTAAACTCAGGAACCAAGATGAGGATGTGTTTTCTCATTCCTTGGGTTTAACAATAAGCTGTGCTATATAGTATATACTGTACTAGTAAAATAGTACTGAGACAATCAGAAAGAAAAACAAAAAGCTTCAACCTTGGAAAAGAAGAAGCAAAACTATCTCTTTTCAGATGCCATGAAGATATACATATGGAATTCACATGCATTAAAAGCTATTTGACTAATAAATAGTGTTAAGCAAGGATACAGATTGGAGTGTTAGTATCTCATCTGTACTATTAGCAATGGATGATCTGAAAATGAATGTAGGAAAAATATTTCATTTACAATAGCATCAAAAAGAATAAAATACTTAGGAATAAATTAACAAAAGCAGTGTAAGACTTGTACAATAAAAATGAAAAAATATCATAGAAATAAACTAAAGAAGATCTAAAAGATGAAAAGACATCCCATGTTCATGGATTGGAAAACGTAGCATTATTAAGAAGTCAGTACTCCCCAAATTGATCTGCAGATATTCCATGCAATCCCTACCAAAATCCTAGTTGCCCCCCCGCCACAAATTAGCAAGTGAATCCTAAAATTTACAGAAATGCAAGGGACCCAGAGTAGGCACCAAAAAAAAAATCTTAGAAAGAAAAACAAAGTTATAGGACTGTTGCTTCCTAATTTAGAAGCAGCACAGAGCTTTTGTAATTGAAACAATATGTATTGGTAGTAGGATAGATTATATAGAGATGGATGGGATTGAATCAAGAGTCTAGAAATAAATCAGACCTAAAAGTTGACTGATCTACAACAAGAGTGCCAA